CGATTTTCAATGGATGTTTACAGCTGTTGCTCTTCATTTTGAGTTGTGGCCCATCAGCAAATGAAGGTTCTGTGTGCTTTTCTCTCCCAAACTTAACTCTTTTCACATCATCGTGGTCAACTCTACTTTGAGGAGGCATTTTTTTCCCGTCGCATTCTGAGTGCCTTCCCACCTTCCGGTCCTGTATCTGACAATGATTCTCTGCCCAGTGACACCATTGAGAATATCAAGGCAAAGATCCAAGACAAGGAAGGCATCCCCCCTGACCAGCAGAGATTGATCTTTGTTGGGAAGCAGCTGGAAGATGGCTGTACCCTGTCTGATTACAACATCCAGAAAGAATCCACCCTGCACCTGGTCCTTCATCTGAGAGGGGAGATGCAGATCTCCGTGAAGACCTTGACCTGTGAGACCATCACCCTTGAAGTAGAGCCCAGTAACACCATTGAGAATGTCAAGGTGAAGATCCAAGACAAAGAAGGCATTCCTCCTGACCAGCAGAGATTGATCTTTGCTGGGAAACAGCTGGAAGATGGGTGTACACTGCCTGACTACAACATCCAAAAAGAATCTACCCTGTACTTGGTCCTTCATTTGAGGGGAGGTGTCTAAGTGGTGCCTCCTTCCTTTTAAGCTTTCAAGAAATTTCATTGCACTTTTCTGTTAATAAAGTTGTTGCATTCCCCAAAAAAATAAAGAAAGGGAAAAAACAACCCGGAGCCGCTCATCAACCACACCACACACCAGACGGCCCGTCTAGAGACTTTTATTTATTTATTTATGTATTGCCCGTCTAGAGACCTTTATTCAGGGTAAGGAAGAGGAAGGTGACCTCTGCCAGAGAAAGAAGGCAGGAGGCAGAAGAGTAGAGAAGAGAGAGTCAACGGGAAGGGAGTGATCTTATATAGGTTCAACAGGAAGGGAGTGGTCATTGCTGGGGTAATTTAGCTGTGGCCTGTCAAAAGCCATGTTGCCTTTTAAACTATGCACCTTGTAGCTTAGGGCAGGGAAACAGAAACCTAAGATTATAAAATGGAGTTGAAGGGAAGGGAGAGGAAAGAACCCAGAAGGTACAGCCTAAAATGGCGGACCTGATATTGTAACATTTCCCCCTCTTTGGTTAAACAAGAAAAATGAATGGCCATCTCTATGATCCATGCCCATGGGAAAAGGGATGACGGTCATTTTTCCATAGCTACTTCCTGCTGACATTGGGGCAGCAAGGTTGTCTTTCTTTGGGCTTGGACTATGGTTGGTGACGGCTTTGTCATTGTTGGTGGTGTTGTAACCGGGTCAGCAGCTGGACTGAGGTTGGTTCCTCAGTCTTAGGTCTTCAGCTTGTAACAACAACTGGGTAGCAGCTTGCTGGGAAATTTGGGTATGCGGCTAACCTGCAACTGAACAAAATGAAGAACACAGGGGCAACTGCCAGTAAAGTGAGGATAACCAATAGTGGGGTTAGAATGGGAAGCAGGGAATTTAATACAGGATTATGGAACCAACTAGCAAAACCTCCATTAATGGGAAATGCTTGCAGTCCAGTAGCTATGCCTGCCCCAATCTCTAGCGCTGCTACCAGGGGTAGGATTGCTACTTGGATTGCCCAAATTTGGTGCATTTTTCCAGTATTGTAGTTTAAAAAGAATTCCATTATCTTAGTTTGTATTTCCCTGGTTGTTGAGAGTATGCACATTTTACTGTGTTCATTGGCTAATCATGTTCTCTCTTTTATGAAACACCTATTCTCATACATTGTTGCATGTAGCCATAGCTCATTTCTCTTCCCTGCTGAGGAAGATCCCATTTTGTAGCTTTATTAAAAGTAATTTTCCATTTTCCACCAAATTTGCGTTTTTCCCCAAATTTTTCAATTTTGTACTAATCCTGCTATAAATATATTTATCTCTTGGGTGTTTGTGGTTTTCTTATAGCTTCATAGGACTAGATCCTAGGATAGGAGTGTGAGTGGAGAAGAGCCTGGGGATTATCCAGTTCATCTAACAGCCAAAAGCAGAAGTCCATTTGTAAATGTTAAAGTTCTCTCTGGTCTTTCTGCACAGGGTTTTATTGAGTCTCACAAAGAGCAGGTGTTGAAAGTGTACTATTTACCTGGCATACCTGAGGTCTTTCACAGGAGCTTCCAGATTCAGATCGCCCACTTGGATCCAGAAAGTATCATTCTGAGTGGAGAGGGAATTTTCCCCCGAATCAGCCTCGATCTGCCCAGGAACCTGAAAGGTACTACTAACCCAGTTTGAGTGTTTTCCCACAAGGGGGCAGCAGATACATTTTAGCTTTGTTTATTTGACAATGGAGGGCTACTCAACTTACTTGGCTGTTCTCAACCTTCTATGGTTATTCCACAATGGCGGAAAATAAGTTGAATATGGTTTGGGGCCTGAGAGATGAGTAATGAAAGTCTAACTTTGCTTCCAAACTGTGCAATTCCAAACCAAATCAACTAACGAACCAACCAAGACCCCTCAAACAAGCCTGTTGCCACTGAGTCATTTTCAAATCACAGTGAGGCCAAATCATGGCAGTCTCATGTTAGGACCGCTGGCCAGTTTGGCTCTTACTGAATTGCTTCCTATAAAAGGAGCAGAAAATTTTACTTCCAAATGCCTTTTCCTTTGTTACATGCTCCTTCCACTAAAATCTTGAGTCGTCTTTTTCCAGTTACATACTCACAGATGGTCATTGAGAAGGCAAAGGGTGAGTGAAGCAAGTGTTGTTGAGAGATGCCATTGAGTTGGCTCTGACTCATAGCGATGCTGGGTACAACAGAATGAAAACTTGCCCCATCCTCTGCCATCCTCAGCAACTGCTGCTGTGTGAGCCCACTGTTGTCAGCCCAGCTCACTGAGGGTCTTCATCTTTTTTGCTGACCCTTTACTTTTTTAGGGAGTAGAATTCTCAGAATATAAACTATGTACAGAAAGACAACCACAGATTCTAACTCTAAAATCCCTTGGTAGTGCAAGTACTAACCAAAAGATTGGAGGTTCAAGTCCACCAGGAGTACCTTGGAAAAAGGCCTGATGAATCAACCATTGAAAGCCCTATGGAGCACAATTCTACCCTAACAACCTCGGTAGCACCTTGATTTGGAATCAACTCAATGGCAATAGTCTTGTTTGAGGGGTTTTGGTTGGTTGGTTGGTTGGTCAATTTGTATATCACTCTGCTAGTTTGTTCAAAGGTGGTCTCAAAGAATAGGGGCTCTGTCCAGGTGTAAAGAGGGTCTCAGGAAGTTAAACTCAGGGAGTCCTCTGTTCTCACTGGTTCCAGTTTTCCTTTTTTTTTGTAAAGAATTTGAGTTCTGCTCCACAGTTTTCTCCCATTCTGTCCGTGACCATCTACTCTGATGACCCTGGCCAGAACTTTCAGAGTACCACCTAGTTCTTCAAGAGTCAGTATTTGGAACATTATGCTGAATGAAATTAGTCATTTGTCCACAAAAGGACAAATATTGTATAAGAGTATGAGACCACTATTGTAAAAAGTTAAGAAAAGGTTTTCTAGATAAAAGAACATTCTATAATGGTTGTGGGGAATGGGGAGGGGTGAGCAAGCAGGGGAGAGAATATTATTCACAGGCTAGAGGGTTGATTGATGGATAGATTATGTGCTGTGGAGTTGGTTCCAACTCATAGTGACCCAGTATAGGGTTTCTGAGGCTATAAATCTTAGTGGAAGCAGAAACCCACATCTTTCTCCCACAAAACACTTGGTGGTTTCGAACTGCTGACCTTGAGGTTAGCAGCCCAACTTGTAACCAGTACTCTGGTGGCTACATGTTAACATGGGTGATGGGGCAACAATAAACAGCAAGAAGGAGACACAGGGAGGAAAGCAAGAGTTGAAGTGAATAGAGGTAAACACTGGTAACCGATGGTACATGGAGGGGATCGCAGTCATTGTAATGAAGCAAAGTGTAAGATTTGTTTAATTAAAACTGATAATCTGCCCTGTAACCTTCACCTCAATTCACAATAGAAAGTTAAAAACAAAACAAAAGAGTCAGTGTTTTGGACATAGTCCATGTTATTCTCTTCTTCCAACCCACAGGAAATGAAAAGTATGAAACCTTCTTGGATCAAGCCAAAAAAAACCTAGAGTATGACAAATATGATACAATTGCTCACTTAGAGATGACAACTGAGGAGATTCCTGAGTATGAATCTTCTGAGGTAAGATTAGTTGCACCCTGCATAGGAAGTACATGTGGGGGTGGTTATGTGCCGCGGGGTCGGTTCTGACTCATAGTGACCCTGCATAGGGTTTCTGAAGCTGTAAATCTTCATGAGAGGAGAAAGCCTCAAGTTTATTCCGTAGAATGGCTGGTAATTTCGAACTGCTGACTTTGAGGTTAGCAGCCCAACTCGTACCTGGGGATTTCAAAAGTTTCGTGGAAAAATTCCATTATTTTTTAGCTCCATTTTTCCATGAGCTTTTGAAGCCTCCTGGTATGTTCAGAAGTATAGTATGTGCAAAGACCCAGGGACAAGAAGGGCATGGTTTGTCTGCGGAACAGAGAGAAGGAGAGAATAGTTAAAGCCAAGAAGGGGAGGCAGGTAGTGGGAGGTGAGTCTGCATAGGTAGGCAGTGGCCTGGTGAATTGTTTTAAGGATTTAAGTTTTATCCTGAAAGCAACAGAAAGCTTCAGAAGCCTTTTAAGTGCAGCATATTTGGATTTGTGTATTTAAAAGATCCCTCTGGATGCCTCGTGAAGCTTGGTGTAGCAGGAGGATTTGGAAACATGAAAGTAGATATGGGGAGATCCATTGTTTAAAAAGCTAATGAAGTGCTTCTGGTGAGAGATGATGGTGGTGTGAACAAAGATGGTGGTAGAGAGGAGTGGGTGGACTCAAAAAATATCTTGGAGGTAGAAATGTCAGGCGTTATGGAGTCATTGAATGTGAAAGTGAGAGGATAGTCACCTCCTGTGTCTTGTTCAAGTAATTTAAGGAGGAGGCCCAGAGATAGGAAACTCAGGAAGAGAAGCACGTTGTGGTGGGGAGGGAGAGGACAGTAAGATTGTTTATCACTGAGCATAAGATTTTTGCGCGCCATCCAAGTGGAGGCAACCAATAAGGAGTCAGAGCCACTGCTGTGGACCTGGAGGAGAAGACGAAGCTGGAGAAAAAGATTCGAGAATCTAGGGATCATCACTGTAGTCCCAAGAAGCAGTGAGATTCCCTAGGGAAGGTATCAAGTGAGCAGAGAAGAGGGAATGCATTCAGAACAGAACCCTCAGGTGCTCCAGCATCCAAGGGGTGAAGAGTGGTAATCAGATAAGTTCTGGAAAAATCCGGAATGTGTGCTGACACAGACTCGGTTTCTCAAGAGAAGGAGTGTCCCAGTCTGTAAATAGAAGCTACCTCGATGATATGATATAAAGGCAAAATCTCAAAATAGCTTCTCTCACCATTCCCTGAAAGGCCTTTTCTGATCATCTCTCCCTGTGTTCTTCTTTTTTAAATGCAAATGAGTGTAGGAATATTGTCCTACAGGAGAATTATACAGATACTATGGGTCAGAACTGATTTGACGGCACGTAACAACAATAAATATAGAGAGAGCCCATAGGCCTGGATTAGAGGAGCTCTGAAATTGAGATGAAAAGTGTGGGGGAGACTAGGAGCCCCAAAGGGCATTTGCAAAGCCCTGCTTTACAGAAGCCTAGTTCTGTACAAGATGCCATACCTATCCCTTTTTCCTCCAAACCAAACCCACTGCCATCAAGTTGATTCCGACTCACAGCAACCATATGTTGTTGTTAAGTAAAGTCTATTCCGACTCATAACAACTCTGTATAGGGTTTCCAAGAAGCGACTGGTGGGTTTGAACCACCGACATTGTGGTTCGCAGTCCTCTAGACAACCATTAAAATTCTCTGTTGCTATGCTTTTGTTATTTCAAGAATGCTGTTCAAATGGAATCACATAGTATGTAACCTTTGGAAGAATGACTTTTCCTCTCAGTATAATGCCCTTCAGATTCATCCAGGTTGTTGCATGTCTCAGTAGTTCATTCTGTTTTATTGCTGAGTAGTATTCCATAGTTTAGATGTACAGTAGTTTGCTGACCACTCCTTCCGCCATGTAACTTTTAGTATCAGAAATAGACTGTATATATATTTATGTCATAAATGGCTTTTTGGAGCTATGAAAAGTTAACTCGTTTTTCATGTTCCAGGAACTCATTTTTGCCCTCCTAAGGGTGATGTTGTCCTTTTGGAAGATAAATGTTCTGGAGGAATGTTCTGACTCTCTCTTCTCTCTTACTGCAGTTTAGTGCTCATCTCCAGATGGAAGTAGAGAGACTTATAGTCCAAGAGTATGCCCTACAATATCAGAAAATGGTGACCACCGATCCCACAGATGACTCCTGCCTCATTCATCGGAGTCGTCGGAAACTGACCAAGTGAGCTCCTTTTCATGTTGTGTTTGTGTGAGAGTGAATCGGAGCAGTGTGCTGACCTGTGCAGGGGGCTCCCCTGGAAATAATACTTGATCTTCTAGAAGTGAAATCCTCTAGCCCCCCTTACCTGCCTCCCCTAGTATCATGCCAACCAGGCAGGTGTGTGCCTCTTAAAGTCAGAAGATTCCAACTTTGTCAGATGGCCAGGCCATTTCAGGTCCATGAGGACTCACACAGATGCTCAGAAACAGCAGTGTGGGTTTCTGGGGGAAGTCTCTTGACCCTAGTCTCCATTCTGGTGGCCACTGGTCACTGTCTACCCCAGGAAATAAAAGTATGTACAGTAGATGCGACAGGATCTCACCTCTCTCACTTTGGGGAAAGAAAGCTTCCAGATTTGAACGTGACCGATACGGAGGTTTCTGAACTGTTTCAGAGTCCAGCTGCCAGAGTATATCCTGGACTTTGGTTACATTATCCTTGGTGACGTCCGAACACACATCATCAAGATCACCAACACCAGCCACTTCCCAGTGTCCTTTCGAGCAGAAAAGCGTGTCCTTCATGACACAGGTAACCAGACTGGGGAGACCCCTTCCTATTGCATCTTAGCACGTTTAACAAGGTCCCCATTTGTATTGTGGTTTGCGATCAATATTAGTGTTTCTTCTGGGCTCAGCTGAAAAAATGGATGGGCCATTCAGTGATGCCTTGAATAGTCACCCTGATCCAGAGGGGGGCCTATCTGCATCCCCTATTGTTTGCTACTTCGCTTTCCCAAGAAGAAATTGTGGTTTTCTCACTGTCTTGGTCCAGGCTTCAGTACTGAGCTAGATCGTGTAAAGAATCTGCCTTACTGTGAAACGGAAACCTTTGAAGTGCGGTTTGACCCACAAGGGACAAATCTTTCTGTTGGAAACAAAGAAGTTACAATGCCCATCAAGGTAAGATGTACCACTGGGTCAAATTAGCCATCGTTGGCCTCTCGTTCTGTGTACAGATTGTCCCTGGGATGAGCTAGTGATTATGTTAGATCTATGATTCACCCTCCTCTCTTCATCCAAACACCAGTCACGTGATAACAGTAATTCTACGTCTACTATAGGTGGTTGGAGGACCAACAATTCAGGTCTGTCTCAAAGCCAAAGTGACCATCCCAACCATGACGCTGTCTTGTGGAAAAGTGGAATTTGCCACAATTCAGAGTGGACAATGCCTTGTGGAAACTATTCAACTTACCAATCAAATCCAAGTCCCTTGTGAATGGTTTGTCCAAGCCATTAAGCCTGTTGACAAGGTAAGTGCCCTGTGGCCCATTGGTCCCCTTTTCTCCGTTGCCAGGTCTTCCTGATTTGTAATTGTAGGGTTTCATTCTCATCATTTCACAATTCTGCTTGGTCTTTTCATTGCCTCCTAACTAAAATCTAGACCTTTAGTTGAGCACTCAAAGTTCTGTCAGGCCCTGCTATCTGGGTGAGTGCTTCATTCATCTCTGTATTCCCTGGGGTCTACTGTCCCTGGCACCTGGGAGGTACTCAGTAAATGCCGGTGAAATTCGTCTATTTTCCATAGAGGACAACCTAATTGTCTAATATTTACAACCCAGCTGGGGAAGCACATGCCAAAGTACTTAAGACGGAAACTACGTGCTGAATTAAAGCCAAAGACACGGATCTTTGAGGTTCAACCCACTTCTGGAGTCCTGGACCCTGGTGAGAAGTCCAATGTGCAAGTGAAATTCATGCCCAAAGAAGAGGTGAGCTGTGAAGAAATATGATTTCATTCGGATTCTCTGGGTCTCTTTAAGATTGGGTCTGTGTTTGCTTGGGTCTCCAGGGAAGTTTGGGGTGACCTGTGCCTTGAAATCCTGACTATGGCATCTTTGGAGCTTCTAGTTCACACAGAAGCTATGCGGTCCACTGGTTAAGAGCACAACTGTCCCTCTGCCCTGCTCTTAGAGGCTGCAGGTTTTCACACAAATTATGGAGTGTCTCTAAGCCTCAGTGTACTTATAGTTAGATTGGAAATAATAATCATATGTACCCCAGACCCCTTTTTGCTACTCTGAAATCCAGTAAACTCTGAAAACTGAAAAACGTTTAGTAAGTTTCAGACCAAAATTCATCTGACAGGAAAATCTCCCCCTAACTGATATGAGATAATTTATTCAAACATTGTTGATATTAAGTACCGATGAGTTGTTTCAACTCTGAGCAACCCTATATAGGGTTTCTAAGGAGTGCCTAGTGAGCTTGAATCACCAACCTTGCAGTTCAGACCAACCTTGCAGTCCAGTGCATTAGCCCACAGCACCACGCCAGGACTCCATCACCTGCAGCAATAGTCATGTGTTTGGATTACAGGGGACCTTCCATAAACTCACTGAGGACATTAGGTAATAAAGAGCTCTGGTAGTATAGTGGTTATGAATCGGGCTGCTAACCTCAAGGTTGGCAGTTCGAAACTACCAGCTGTTCTGCAGGACAAAAAGATGAGGCTTTCTGCTCCTGTAAAGATTTACAACCTCGGAAACCCTGTACAGGGTCGCTATGAATCAGAACCAACTCCATGGTACTTAACAAAAACAACAACACTGTGTTTACCTATTTAAAATGTGAATTTGAAAGTATCTGAGCCCCCAGGTTTCAAATGGGCGATTACTAACCTGTAATAGTCACCTCCTAGGATTATTTTACGGAGCTCTGGTAGCATAGTGGTTATGAATCGGGCTGTTAACCTCAAGGTCGGCAGTTCGAAACTACCAGCTGTTCTGCTCCCGTAAAGATTTATAGCCTCAGAAACTCTATGCAGGGTCACTATGAGTTGGAACCGACTCCATGGCACATCACCACCACTGGGATCATTTTCAAGATGAACTAAAGTGAATAAAATACATAGCATTCTCCTCTATATATAGTGAATGTGTCCATAACTATGAGGCATTATTATCAATCGTCATAGTACTAATAAGTACTTCCTGGTGGACAGCCTCCCAGGGCTTCATAACTGTTCCTTTTCTGAGTATTATCAGTACAAAGCTACTCCTGACTAAGAACACAGCAAACAGTAACAATACCGTAGAACCAGAGTGATAACAAGAGGTTACTCTGTGAAGGCTTCGGCTCAAAGCCTAAGACATTTGGGATATATTTTTCTGTCTCTTGTGGCCTTTTATAAGATAAGTCAATGGACATTTTCTAAAATATCTGTAGTTAACTCTCATTTTCTGCTTACAGCTTTGAGGAAACGTATTTAAATCTTCAAATAATGAGTAGAATTAAAAAAGAGGAAAAGTCATTGACTTCGTATTTCATTCTAAAATCAAGCCCATTTCCTATTGCTGTCAAAATCTCCCCCAACCCTGTTAAAAGGGAATTAATTACATGTTTGTCATTCTTAGAGAGTCTTTAGACTATCAGGTGATTTACTCAAGATTTTAGATTTTTTCCATGACTGAATAAGCTATAGACAGTACCAGGGAATTATCAATAATTGTGGTAAAAATAGATCTATCCAGGCAGTTCCTTAACTAGTGAGCTGGATTTGACCAAAGCCCATAAAATGTTTTCATCAGTTGGAAGATGAACTTACAAGGAGTTTTTTAGCCTTCTCTCTCAGCCATGCATTCCTACATCTTCATCACCTTCAGCAGCACAAGAGACATCTACACTCATTGCTCTCAGTCATAAGAAAAGGTCTAAATGCAGTCAGCATGCTCTGGTACAAAACAAGGAACTGAGTGAACTATCCTAGAAAGATTTCCTTTAAGAAGTATAGAAGTGTAGATAGGGACGGGCAACATAGACATTGGCTACCTAAAATGAGGGGACGATAAAGGCACCAAGGGACTGGCTTACAAGTTTTCAAGAGGGAGTTTAGTTTAAGAGTGTGTGGGGGAAGATAGAGTCCCCACTGAATAGTTTTCATCTTATCTAGATGGGTCTGGTAAAAAGAGATGAGGATACAATTCTTATGATTCGATAGTGAGTAATTGCTATCATGACTAATTGTGACTGTCACAATTGTAAAGGTAGAAGTTTTGTAACAAAAACAGGGGAGTGGTTAATTTTATAGACCAGAAACAGAGGACTGAGAGCTGATGCCCAAGAGGCAGACTTGCAGAATGTGCCCTTTGGTGGTGTAAATTATTATGAGTGTTGGGAAAAAAAAAAAAAAAAGAACTAAAATGAGTAGAGAGAAATACTGTTAACTGATGGTACATGGAGGGGATTATAATCATTGTAATGAAACAAGGTGTATGTTGAATGTAAAACTGATGATCTGTCCTGTAAATGTTCACTCAATTCACAATAAAAACCTTAAAATAAATTTTTTTTTAAAGTATAGAAGTTTAGGTCATAAGATGATAAATCCACAACTATGTAAAAACCCCTTCTAACCCGGTCATTCAGTCTCTGTTTCTGCCCATTTGTGAGTATCTGTGTGTGTGTGTGTCCACATCCACCCGATTTTCTCCCATGAGTTAAGACAGTTACAAACACCTCTAATTTCAAAGCTAATCAAGGTCCCCAAACTGAAGTCAGCCCAACTATATCAGAATGTCTTGGAATATGGTTAAAAATGCAGAATCCCAAGAATTCCCCCACCCCTCTAGGAATAGAACCAGTGAATCTGTGTTTTATGAAGTTCCTCAGTGAAGCAATGTAGCTTTCTAATGTAAGAAATCATTGACTGTAAAGTTGATTTCTTTACCACTTTGAGAACACTGAGCACAGCATCACTACTAGCTGGTGTTCTGAAGGCTGTAGCTCATCAGTCCCAGACGTGCTGCATAACTGTTCTCCTACCTTCAGATAATGGGAATGAATGTGTTAATTTGGGCTCTCCCAGATGCAGACCTGGAGACAAGGATTTGAATGCAAATAGGACACATTGGTAGGGAAGGAAAAGGAGATAAATGAAAGAAGGCAGCCATCAAGGGACTTGAACTAGGACTTGATCCCACTGGGAAACTCCAGTGGAATATACCTGGTGGCAAAAGATTGACAGTTCAAACCCACCCAGTGACTCTGCAGGAGAAAAGACCTGATCATCTGCTTCCATAAAAATTAGGGCCTAGAAGACCCTGTGAGGCAGTTCTGTCTCTTGGGGTGAACCAAAAATCAATGGTACCTACCAGCAACAGGGGAGAAAGATGTACTTATACAGTAACTTTTCAGAGTCATCAGTTGAGAACTACTCCAGGGGAAGTTCTGCCCTGCCATGTCCATCGTCTTCCATGCTTTCCATGGCATGTAACAGAGAAATAATATGTGTCTTCTACTTACCTGATTTCATGCTTTCCAGAAGTTCTACAGCCAAACGCTGGTGTTCCAGATTGCTCAGAGCCCTCAGAAGCTGACGCTACTGGCACAAGGACAAGGTCTGGAGCCTCGCCTGGAATTTAATCCTTCAGTTCTGGAGCTGGGACCACTGCTGCCCTATGCACCTGGAGATGAGGCCGAATTGGTGGTGAAGAATCCCTGCAACTTTCCCATTGAGTTTTACTCCTTAGAATTTGACCAGCAATATCTCATAGAAGAGAAGGTAAGCAGAGGTCCAAACTGACTTCCATGTTCCTAGGTGTGCAGGGCTCTGCCATGCCTCAATGGTGTTCTCCCTCTGCAGGGGAGGACTTTCTCTTGGCCTTTCCCACTTCCTTCCCCTAACTAAGTGCAAAGATCAATCCGAAAGGCTTAGCTTTAGATTCTTTAGTATTTTCTGTGCACACAGTCACATCTTCGTGGAATAACACTTTTATTTTTTTCTTTCCCAGCCTTCATTCCATTTATTTAATCTTGTTTCATTGCACCAACTAGGATCTCCAGTACAGTAGTGTGAATGGAAATGAAAGTAAGCAGGCACTCTTGTCTCTTTCCTGATCTCAGAGGGAAACAGTCAATATCTCATCATTAAATATAATGTTTGCTGTAGGATTTTATAGGTAATTGTCAGCAGATTAACGGTGTTCCTTTCTGTTCTTCATCTGCTAGACATTTAGTTTGTTAATTACAAAGGAGTGTTGATTTTATCAAATGCTTTTTCTGCTTCCATCGAGATAGTAATGGGATTTTTTTTCTGCATTTTTCTGCGTATATTTACTCAATTATTTCATCACACTTACTCATTCTGTATGCTGAGCAAATAATCTAAGAAGCTGGATTATATGAAGAAATATGTGGCATCAGGATTGGAGTAAAGCTCATTAACAACCTGAGATAATGCAGATGATACAACGTTACTTGATGAGAGCAAAGAGGGCTTAAACTACTTACTGATGAAGATCAAAGACCTCAGCCTTTTTGGTATGAGTAAATGTAAAGAAAACAGAATTTTCACCACTGGAGCAATAAATAACATCATGATAAATGGAGAAAAGATTGAGTTGTCAAAGACTTCATTTTGCTTGGATTTGCCATCAACACTCATGGAAGCATCAGTCAAGAAATCAAAATGCTTTAGACAAATCTGCTGCACAAGACCTCTTTAAAGTGTTCAAGAGTAAAGATGTCAGTTTGAGGACTAAAGTGCTCCTGACCCAAGCCATGGTATTTTCAGTCACTTCATTCGCATGTGAAATTTTGACAATGAGTAAGGAAGATCGTAGGAGAACCGATGCACTTGAATTATGGTGTTGGAGAAGAATATTGAAGGTACCATGGACTGACTGCCAGAAGAACATACAGGTCTGTATTGGGAGAAGTACAGCTGGGATACTCCTTAGATAGAAGCAAAGATGGTGAGACTTAGTCTCTTATGCTTCAGACATATTATCAGGAGGGACCAGTCACCATGTTTATCAGGACACCATGTTTGGTAAAGTGGAAAGTCGATGGAAAAGAAAGACTTCCAACGAGATGGACTGACACAGTGGCAGCAACAGTGAGCTCAAGCGTAACAACAATTGTGAGGATGGTACAGGACCAGACAGTGTTCCATTCTGTTGTACATAAGGGTTGCTTGAAACCTACCAGCCTCTCCTGGGAAACCCTATACTGGATCGCTATGAGTCGGAAGCGACTTGACAGCACTTAACAAATAGCATAAGTAGGGCTGGAAGGATCTTATACGCCCCAAAAACCTTGCTTTTGCTTGCCAAACCTTTCTCTATTCAAAGGGTAAAAGGAATAGTGTCCTTTATTTTGGTCCCATTTTCACCACTGAAAAAGCTATCGTTCAAGCCAGTTAAAGCTGTTGTTTTGTTTTTATTAGTACAGCCTGTATCTTTTCTTTTAGCTTTTTATTTTGAAATTAGTGTGGATTCTTAGGAACTTGGGAAGATAGCATGGGTAGTACCTTTCATCCAGGTTCCCCCAGTGCCTACGTTATGTGTAACTAAGATACAGTATCAGAACCATGACGTTAAAATTGGTAGACGACATGCAGTTTTATTGCATGTGTAGATTTGTATAACCATCACCACAACCAAGATATAGTTTCATTCCATCAGCACCAAGATCTTGCTCATGCTGCCTCTTCAGTGTCAAACTCACCCTTCTATTTCACCCACTTCCACCCTCAGTCTCTAACCCCTGGCAACTAGTCGTCTTTTTTCCTTATCTATAATGGAGCATTCATCCTGCAGGGGGCTCTGGGCAGCTCACCACAGCATCCACTACACATCTGATTGTCCCACATCCCTCCATGGTCTTTTTGCACTCACCCCTAAACTTGATCTCTGCATTTCTAGAACAGTTTCATCAATTGCTCCCAAAGAGACTTCTTACATCTCCACTTAAATCTTTCTTTACTTCAAAGTCAGAAATATCTTCTGTTATATTTTAGTAAAAGTCTCAACCTTTTGTTATTGGCAGTTCTGAATCCAGCAAGAGTTGATTTTTATGAGTGAGGTAAGGAAGAACCCTGAGTATGGTTTTCCATATGAATAATTTATTGAATATTCCTTCCTGTCCCCCACTCGTCTGCCCTACCACTTCTGCCCTTTATCAGAGTTCCCTTTATGAACAAGTCTGTCCTGAGCTCTGCCTACTGTTTCATTTGTCACTGTGTCTATCCATGCATCGGTTCCACCCTGACTGTTATTACGACAGCTTTATAATAATTATAATAATCTAACCCACTGTCTGATAGGGCGAGTCCTCTCTCTTTGGTCTTCCTCTGTAGCGATTTAACTCATTGCTGCCCTTTGTTCTCACAGTCATCTCACAAGCAGTGACTTTGGAGCATCTAAAGATGGTGAACCAGGAGAAGAATTACCTACCAAGACAGTTTTAATACCAATAAATTAGATTGTGTAGGAAGTAAATACCTTCTAGAATTTCATTTTACTGTGTTTAATAAATATATTCACGTATACATTGGTGTGGCGCTGTAGGATAGCCACCATCCACTCCTCAGAAACCGTATTTAGGGTTGCTATGAGTCAGAACCGACTTGACAGCATGTAACATAACGACAATATACACTACAGTAGCCAGGTTTAGAAAAACAAACCACAGGCTGCCCAGTGAAATCTGAATTTCCAAAAAGCAACTTTGTTTTGTAGTATAAGTATGTCGCAGATAGGGCCCTGGTGGTGCACTGTTAAGCACTTGACTGCTAAGTAAAACATTGGTGGTTCAGACCTACTAGCGGTTCCATGGGAGAAAAACCTGACAACCTGTTTCCATACAGATCCCAGCCTCTGAAACCCCTCCAGGCGGCTCTCCTCTGTCCTATAGTGTGGGGGTGAGTCAGAGGCCACTGAACCGCACATAACAACAACATATGCTGAATACTGCACGGTGTTATTAATGGTGTTGAATTCCTACTCATAACAACCCTGTATAAGGTTTCTGAGGAGGGCCTGGTGCTTAGCAGTCCAGTGCTTATCCTACAGCGCCACACCAGGGACATCTTTATGCTAAAGAAGCATCTAGTGCTTATCTGACACTCAGATTTAACATGGCAGCTCGTATTTTATCTGACAACCTTAGCACATGCACACGTAGACACCTACACACACATACTCAAACATGCTTCATGCATGGAAACCTCTGAAAGCCCAAACCCAAAGGAACAACCTTGGTTTTCCAGCTCTCATAAGTTTTCCACTTTTTACAGCGTCCAATCTTAGTGCTTTTCTATTGCTCATTTTAGTGGAAAATATTTGCATTTTCTTTCTCCGGCATATTTCCATCTTAGGCAGGTTCTAGCTGTTGCAGGTTTTACTGTACTCTTTCCCTGGTCTTCCTTCCCTGGATGTTCTATCAATGCGGCAGCAACCTGGCCTGGTATAATATTGCCAACCACACTACTTTTTAAGTCTGTGTCACTCCAGGTGGAGAATGGAGTTGTGTACTTTTGTCATTGGGGGAGGGAGGACAAAAATAGTGTAGATTGTTTTAAAAAAAAAAAAAAAAAAGTTTTTTCCACCTATAAAATGTCCAGGTTCACATGGAGCAAAATAAAGATCCTATATCCCCTCAGGTACAGAGCTCAGCTTTTTGGCCCCCTTAAAACAGCACCCTCACTTTGGAATTCAGAAAATATTTGTCCAAACTCCAGCATCAAACGGAGGCAGAAGCAGAAGCCCCCAATGAATGAGCAGCAGCAACTTCCAGTGAGAACCACGGTCTGCGTTCTCCCCTCCCACAGATCTTACGGAAGCTGAAGGGTTATGATTCCTTCAACACCCTGCTGCTGCCTCCCCGCATCCCTGGGGAGAAGCTGCCGCTGGAGGTGTATGAGTACTTTAAGGAGCTGAAGCGGTCCAAAGAGGAGCAGATGAAGGCAAGGTACATGGAGAGCCTCACTCAGGACAATGGTAAGAGCTCAACCCCGGAACCCCCGGCTCCAGCCACTGCCTTGCCCTTTCAGGTCACTCTGGCCATAGACCGACCAATTTCTGAGCACCTTCTCTTGCCAGGCAAGTGCTAGGTGAAATATGTATTTTATTCCTAACGCTGACAAAATCATCCTGTTACCCCCAGTTTGTGGATCGGAGACTGGGGCACATTCTGCTGGGTCTAGAATCCAGGCAAATGTAACCCACTGCCCCGAGTCAATTCCCACTCATAGCAACCCTGTATAGGGTTTCTGATGCTTTAGCCTCATTTTACACCCATGGAGGTAGGTTTGAACTGCCAACCTTACAGCACCACCAAGGCATAAAATGAGCACTGGCTTGCGAACCACAAGATCCACGGTTTGAGTCCGCCAGCCACTCCAGGGAAAAAGGTGAAGCTTTCTGCTCTTGTGAAGGTTCACAACCTCAGAAACCCTATACTGGGCCACTATCAGTCAGATCCGATTCGACAGTACTTAACAGCAACAAATATATGTATATGTGCACATACATTATATATATACACACACACAAGCAAACACACACAGTGGTAGCACAATGATTAAAGCACTTGGCTTTAATCTTCAAGGTCAGCAGCTCGAATCTCCCAGCAGCTCCAGAGAGGAAAGAACCTGGCAATCTACTCCCATAAAGATAACAGCTTTGTAGGTAGACTCTCCACTGAGTGGCTTCCAACCTGTGTGGACAGGGCTGGTGAAAGGAGATGGGGATAAGACTCTGTGGTTCATAGTGAGTAATTGCTATCAGGACTGACTGTGAGAGTTTCAAATGTAAAGGTTGAAAAATGAAGTATTGAACTGCCTTTTCATATGGACCCAAAAGCACTAATTAATGAGAAAAAGCTCTTCTTCTGGTAGCGTAGTGGTTACGAATCGGGCTGCGAACCGGAAGGTCAGCAGTTCGAAACTACCAGCTGCTCCGCGGGAGAAAGATGAGGCGATCTGCTCCCGTAAAGATTTACAGCCTCGGAAACCCTATTCAGGGTCGCTATGGGTCGAAACCGACTCGACGGCACTTAACAACAACAACAACAATTCCAACCCACTACCCCTACTGAGACCTGGTGGAGCGAGGCAGTGAGAGGGTGCTAGGTAAACCAAACGGTCCATGTGCTTAGTAGTGACATGGGGAAATGTCCATGCTGCATTGAGAGGGAAAATTGGTGTGGTCCAAGTTTCATTTTAAGAACTTGCAAAGAGATTGAGACAAACATATAATTTTGGTATTAAAAACGATAAAATATGGAGTCTTTTTAGGTACAGGAACTTTTTAACAGCTAACCAACTGCAGTTAGCATTTAGTTTGATTGGACAGTCTAGGGTGATGCTAACTGGATTTGTCTTGCTTTCCTTTTCTGCCTCATTTCCCTCACTCCCTCCCTGTGTGTTTATCTCTTGCTCCCTGACAGAAGAGGAAGATGGGCCCTCTTCAGACCAGGGAAATTCCGCCAGCACCAAGAGGACCTCGCTTAGCCAAGGAATCTCTGTCACATCTAACCTGGAAGAGCGGTACATCGCTATGGTGGATTCGAAAACCTACCCAGATGACGAGGAGGACAATGAGAGCTTGGAAAAAATCATGCTTCAAAGTAAGCAAGCATTCTCATGTTTGGGGACCAGCTCCTTCTAAGCAGAAGTGGGAAAGCAGTTCTGTCTTTTCACCTTTCTTGTAAAATACGTCCTTAGCACTAGGCTCCACACCCCAGCCCCACCCTGACATATAACGTATCTTTCTAGCATTTTAACTGGTCTAAATAATAACTCAAAGGTCTGAATTTTTAATGCTGGCATTTCAGGAGACTGGCCGGGAGGAGTTTGCTCAAGGAGTACTGATGGTGTAGTGATTGAAGCAGTCAGCTGCTAACCAAAGGGCAGCAGTTATTGTGTAGGACAAAGGTGTGGCTGTGTGCCTGCATTAAGATTTACAGCCTTGGAACCCCTGTAGCAGGTTCCGCTCTGTCTTAGGGGGTCACTGTGAGTAGGAATTGACTAAGGGCTTTGGGTTTTTTTTTTCCTTTGGGGGTCTTCAGAGAAACATTCCAAGGGTGCCATTCTTCTTTCTTCATTTTGACTAAAAATGGGCAACTCCCTTCCTGTGGACTAGAGGCAAGGTGAGGGTGAAGCAGACAAAAATGGTCAATGTACTTAATGGCACAGAGAAATGTCCGTGATAAAATAAATCAGGCTATAAAATTGGTATGTACAGTCTGACCTTCCAGCATGTGGATCCATTTCCTACCATTAATCTTGCCCAAGATATGCAAGATTGAAACTATATTTAGAAAACTAGATTCCACAGAAAACTGGGAATTCACTGGGCCATTCATTTGCCAGGAATGGTAAACCTTGATAAATCTTTGCCATTGTGCCCTGTAAGAGACTAGGAAGCATTGCCAAGACTCTTGAGCTAGTTAAAGAGTCTAGTTAAGTTGTCAATTTTAGCCCTTATCAACAAGGAAGGTGAATTGAGATTCAAAATTGGGACTGAAGTACAGGAATCCATGTCTCATGTTCAATCCAATTTGGGTCTGCTGACATGCCCCAAAGTCCTGCCACTCTCCTTGGTCCCTGGGCTCTCTGAATGTCAGTTCCAGATATCCTACAGGGAAGGAGGCACGCCATGATGTGAAGAATGAAAAACCGTACAAACCTTTGAAAAGCCCATCAGTGAAACACTAGTTAAATTATGAGAAATCCATACAATGAAATTCTTTAGCAACTATTTTTTAACGCGCTAGATCTGTTTTCAAGTGAATAGACAGATGTCCAAGACATATTACATAAAAAAGCAAAGATTTAGAGTGTGATCCCAATTCTATTGTTACAACATCGCATGTATTTGGAGTGACTAAACTCACTCCTCACTTATCAACATGGTTAGGTTCCAAAGACCAGGTAATTATGTAAAAATAGGCATTATGCAAAAATAGAGAATGACATATGAGATCACCTAATGGAGCATGACTATATCATTACATAACTGCCAAATTGCATCATCACATAAATGTCAAATTCCATCATAACATAACTGCCAAGCCACTAAGAATCATAGCCTAGCCAAGTGGACACTTAACCTTAACCATCACAGCCGGCATTATTCACCTCACACCTCATGGTCCTTACTGCCAGACGTATGCCGTTAATGCACAGAATAATGGGATGGTAGGTTTTTTGCTGCTGTACTAAATGTGAACTGTCAGATAGAGTCGATAAGTGAGGAATAGATGTGTATGTATTTTATTACATACACCTCTGCTGTATATATAGCATTGCAGCTTGCTCTTTCCCATCACAGACATTCCTCCTTCAGGCCAACACTGTTCCTCTACATCTTTCTTTCTTCAATGAGAGAGATTCCCAAAACTATAGCTAGAATTAGAGTGTCTGTATTTTAAAGTTAGTAATTGTGAACAACTGGGAGAGTCAAGGCCATTGCACCATTGGTAGCAGATCACATTTGTCATTTTATAATTTTATTAAGTGCCGTTGAGTCGGTACCAACTCATAGAGCCTCTGTATAGGGTTTCCAGGGAGCGGCTGGTTGGTTTGAACTGCCAACCTTGTGATTAGCAATCCAGAGCTTGTCCTTCAGCACCACACCAGATCCCCTTATTTTATAAGAACCACATTTGAAAACATCGTTCCCATTTCAATTAGAACCCATGTAATGTCTGCAAGTGTACACATGCACACATGTGTGTTTTTCCTTTGCAGCTGACAAGATACAGAGCATAGACAGCCACTCCGTGGAGGAGGTTGGAGAGGTAGAAAACAACCCAGTGAGCAAGGCCATAGCCCGCCACCTGGGTATTGACATTTCTGCAGAAGGCCGTCTGGCCAAGAACCGGAAGGGTATTGCCGTTATCGTCCATGGGACACCCTTATCAGGTAATGGGCAACCCTGAGGGAAGGTGAAGACCAGGGATGCCTTGTCTGCTGCCTACCTTCCCTGACTTGCAGGACAGCAACATCCTTGGGTGGGCAGGGGAAATACTAGCAATTTCATGTGAGAGACAATAGTGTTTGCAAACACTTACTCTAGAGCCCAGCAACCGTGTGTCAGTCTTCACACTACCATTGACTAGTTCTGAGCCTGGGGAGAACTGACTTACATTCTCTGTGTCCTGTTTGCTTGGCTAGAAAGTACTGGCAGGGTATTGTGTAGGCATTCCTATCAATTGCTTAGCCTCGGACTTGGGGGATGATAAATACTCAAAAAGCGATTTTTATTACTGTTACATTATGACTGTTTATTACCACTGTTAATTACATATAACCATGTCTGGGATTTGAAACCCCATTGGAAAAAGTAATAATAATCACATTGTGCTAAATAATTTCAAGGAATGCAAGGGGCTTCAAAAAGTTTGTGGGGAAATTCCGTTCTCTTTTCATTCCATTTTCCATGAATTTTTTGAAGCCACCTCATGTCTTGGTATAGTAACCCAGGTAAGGAGTCAGACACTCTTCAGCAGAAGAGTCCTTTATTATCTCTAAAAGTAGTGCACACTAACTTCATCCTAAACTCAAAAGGAGCAAAGTCACCAACAGGGATGACATAGTGGCTTACTGTTTACAAAACTCCTGCCCATCCATTTCTCTCTTTAAACCTCACAACCACCCACTTCACAGGAAGTCAACGTTCAGAAGGAAAGGGCCTGAGCTCTGCCAATTGCTTACCTTCGGCTTTACTCAGAGAAAGGACTGAGACCTTTTTCTGACCCATTTCTGTCACCCCTACAGAAAACATTAATGGAAACTTCCCTGTGTTCTCATCACTATGAGAGCTCCTGGGAATCTTTAAAACTATGACAATTCATGGTTTCTTCCCTTGACTCCACAGACTCAGGAAACGTAGACCAGAACTGAAAACCTATAAGGCCATATTGGGGTGGGAGTAGGGAGAATGTGGGACTCAAAGAAGGCAAGTAAGAATGTGATTTTAAATGACTTAAAGACCCCACCACCCCAAGAGCCCATGCTTATTTCTACATTACACCAAGAGGGGTGCTGGAAAAAATGATGATGGATCAGCAAAAGGCAGGTTAACCCTGAAAATGCATTTGACCTGGAAGGAGCCACTATGCCCTTGATCTAGGGTAGGATTCACCCGCTTACATGTGGAGAGGAAAAGCTTAAGTGGAGCAACCAACTGAGGGTGTAAATTATAGCAAGACAGATTTCAAAGAACCTTCACAGAGAAGAGTTTGCTGGTTTGGATCCAAATCAGACTCTACAGAATCGGTGCTTTTCTTCCTCTGGGCTTCATGGTAAAATTGATGTTGTTGCTTATTGCCATCGAGTCAGTTCCAACTCATAGCGACTCAATGCACAGCAGAACGAAACACTGCCCAGCTCTGCACCATCCTCACAATTGTTCTTATGCTTGAGCCCATTGCTCCTGATGCCACCTTCTTCTTCATATAAACCAGCCTCTCAGATTATTCACTCAGCATACAGATTAAATCAGTGTGGTGAAAGAATACAACCCTGGCACACACCATTCCTAATTTTAAACTATTCAGTGCCCCCTAGTTCTGTTCAAACAACTGCCTCTTGGTTTATGTACAGGTTCCTCATGAGCATAATTAAGTGTTCTGGAATACCCATTCTTTGCAGTGTTATCCATAGCTTGTCATGACCTACACAGTAGAAAGCCTTTGCATAATCAATAAAGCACAAGCAAATATATTTTTGGTATTCTCTGCTTTCAGCCAAGATCCATCTGATGTCAACAGTTCCACGTCCTCTTCTGAATCAAACTTGAATTTCTGGCAGTTGTCTATCAGTGTACTGTTGCAGCTGTTTTTTAATTGTCTTCTGCAAGGTTTTACTTACATGTGATATTGATTGTTGTTGTTAAGTGCCGTCGAGTCGGTTCCGACCCATAGCGACCCTGTACAGGGTTTCTGAGGGTATAAACCTTTACGGGAGTAGAAAGCCTCATCTTTCTCCCGCGGAGCGACTGGTAGTTTCGAACCGCTGACCTTAAGGTTCGCAGCCCGATTCGTAACCACTACGCTACCAGGGTATTGATAATACTGTTTAATTAGTTTTACTTTCCATTGGGTCACCTGTCTTTGGAATGGACACAAATATGGATCTCTTCCAGTAAATTGGCCAGGTAACTTGTCTTCCAAATTTCTTGGCATAGAAGAGTGAGTGCCTCCAGTGCTGCATCAATTTGTTGAAACATTTCAGTTTGCATTATGTCAGTTCCTGAAGCCTGTTGTTTGCCAATGTCTTCAGTGCAACTTGAATTTTTCCTTCAGTCCCATCAGTTCTTGATCACATGCTGCCGCTTGAAGTGGTTGAGCATAGACCATTTCTTTTCAGTGCAGTGACTCTGTGTATGTCTTCATTCTTCATTTGATGCTTACTGAGTCATGCAATATTTTGCTCGTTGTTGTTATTAAGTGCCATGGAGTCAGTTCCTGACTTACAGCAACCCTTTGTAAGGTTTCTGCGGAGCAACTGGTGGGTTTGAGCTACCGACCTTTAGTTCACCATCCAGTGCAGATCCTACAGCACCACACAGGAGTCCCATACAGAATCCTTCCATTTTTCAATTTGATGCTTGAATTTCTTCTTTAGTTCTTTTAGTTTGAGAACTGCTCAGTGCGGTCTTCCCTTTTGATTTTCTAACTTCAGGTAGTTCCTTTACTTCATTTCTGCCATTCAATGTAGCATCTCTACACTGGAGAGCACGTTTCAGTCCTTCTGACATTCATTTTAGTCCTTTCTTTCTCTTGTGCCTTTTTAATGACTTTACTTTCTTCCTGTGTGACACACTTGAAGTCATCCATGGCTCTTCTGTTTTTCAGTCATTAGTGTCTAATGCATCAGATATGTTCAGGAGATGGTCTCTAAATTCAGGTGGAATATTTCAAGGTCATGTTTTACCTCTCATGAACTTGTTTTCATTTTCTTCACCTTCAGCCTACAGTTGCATATGAGCAGTTGATGGTCTGTTACAAAGTCTACCCCTGGCCTTGTTTTGGCTAGTGTTATGGAGCTTTTCCCACAGATGTAGTTAATTTGATCCCTGTGTATTCCATCTGATGAGTTCTGTATATAGTCATCTTTAATGTTGTTTAAAAATTATAAATCATTTGTCATAAAAATTCTGTCATGTGATCCTTAGCATTATTTCTATCACCAAGGCTTTAATGTTCAACTATTGAACCTTCTTCTGTTTTCAACTTTAGCGTTCATATAACCAGTAGTTAGCAATACATCTTGATTGCATGTTTGATCGATTTCAGACTGTAGAAGTTGGTAGAATTCTTCAGTTTTATCTTTACTGGCTTTAGTGGTTGGTGCAAAAATTTCAATAATCGTGGTATTAACGGATCTTCCCTGTAGACATATGGATATTATGCTATCACAGACAGCTTCTTTTTGATAATGAATGTGACACCATTCCTCTTAAATTTGTCTTTCCCCTCATAGTAAACTATATGATTGTTGTATTCAAAATGGCCAATAACCAGTCCATTTCAGTTCACTAATGCCTAGGATGGATTTCTGGTGTGGCGCTGTAGGATCAGCACTGTACTGTGAACCACAAAGTCGGCAGTTCAAGTATATGAGCTGTTCTTACTTAGGAAGCTTTGTACAGGATCGCTATGAGTTGGAACCAACTTGATGGCACTTAACAACAATGATAACATACCTAGGATATCGATCTTTGTGTTCCATTTCATTTTTGACAACTTCTGGTTTTCCTAGATTCATACTTTGTACATTCCATGTTCTAATTATTAATGGGTATTTGCAGCAGTTCCTTCTCATTTTGAGTTGTTCCCCATCAGCAAATGAAGGTCCTGAGAACTTTACTCAATTTGTGTCATCATGGTTAACTCTACTTTGAGGAGGCACCTCTTCCCCAGTTGCATTTTGAGTGCCTTCCAACCTGAAGAGCTTGTATTCTGACACTCTATCTGACAATATTCTGTTGCTATTCATAGTGTATTCATCTTCTGGCACTATATCTGACAATGTTCCACTGCTATTCATAAGGTTTTCAATGGCTAACCACTCATAAGTAGTCGGCCTCTCCTTCCCAGCTGAAACCTGTCCACCATGGGTGGCCCTGCGGGTATTTAAAATACCAGTGGCAAAGCTTCCAACATTACAGCAACACAAAGTCACCACAGGATGACAAACTGACAAATGAGAGGTGGTCCACAAATTTAGTGGCTTAAAATACCACACATTTATTCTCTTACATTTCTGGAGGTCAGAAATCTAAAAATAAGTTGACAAGTTCCATTTCTTCTGTAGGCTCTAAAGAGAATCTTTTTCCTTGTCTTTTTTTAGCTTTTGGTGTTGTTAGGTGATGTCATGGCCATTTCACTTCCTAGCAACCCCATATGACAGAATAGAACTGTCCCTTGGGGTTGTCTAGGCTGTAATTTTTATGCGAACTAGCAGCTATCAAGTATTTTTTCTGTGAAGTAGCTGAGTGGATTTGAACCAACAACCTTTTAGTTCACATCCTATTGCTTAACCATGATTCTGCCTATTGCTTGGCACTTCCTCCATCTGTGTAGCCAGCAACATAACATCTTCAATGTCTGTCTCTCTTCTGCTTCCATCATCACCTCACCTTTTCTGACCCTTGCCTTCCTGGTAAAGACCCCTGTTCTTACACTGGATCCACTGAATCGTCCTGGGCAACCTCTTCATCTCAAGATTATTCATCTAATCATGTCTGCAAAGTTGCTTTTATCATGTAGGATAGCATTCATGGATTCTGGGTGGTGGTGGTGGTGTGCCATGAAGTCAGTTCCAACTCATAGCGACCCTGCATAGGGTTCTGAGGCTATAAATCTTTATGGGAGCAGAGAGCTTCATCTTTCTCCTGCAGGATGGTTGGTAGTTTTGAACTGCTGACCTTGAGGTTAGCAGCCTGACTCGTAACCACTAGGCAAGCAGAGCTCCTTCATCTTTGGGTAGGGGGATCATTATTTAACCTGCCACATAGTCCATTTCTTTTGTAGACTAGAAATAGAAATAAAATAATTACGTATGCAGACTCACCAACAGTATGCTAATTGTAATGCTTCTAGAGAGTGGATTGTAAACTTGTTTATCTTTGGTCTTGTCTCTTATTTCTGTATTTTCTGCTTTCTTTGTAATAAACAAAGTATTTTGAAGTGAGAGAAAAAAAATCGCTATTTTTTAAATCAAAGTCTTCCCCTTAGAATCAGAGACAGTAAGAGTGACAAGATATTTTAAAGATCATCTGCTAAAATTTCCTTTATAAATGGTAAAGAAAACCCAGAAAGGAAGTGGTTTACCACAGCATGTTCTCCACCAGTGGAAGGATTAGGACCAGAATCTGGGGTCTTGACCCCTGGCTTTCATCTTCCTTCTCTTTTGCCACCTCCATTAGCTGCATGTGAGACCTGGAGGCAGAGCATCACTTTGCAGCAACCACGATTCTAGAAACTCCCGTCTAGAGCTTAGATCGAACATGAAACATAACCTCTGGCTGTTCTGTAGGGAAGTCTGCTGTTGCTGCCAGCATGGCCAGGTACTACAATGCTGCCTGCCTGAGCATCGACGCGGTGGTGTTGGAAGCCATCTGTGACGGGAACAACATCCCCGGCATCTGCGCCCGGGAGCTCTGCGTCAAGGCTGCTATTGAGCAGTCCATGAAGGAAGTAGAGGAGTCTGGTAAGATCCCATTTTCTCTAACTTCCTATTGTCCAGTAGCTGGCACCCCACTGGACCACTGGAAACACCCATCATTTATCTTCTGCCTGCTGAGCTTTTTCTCCCACAGCCCTTTTGAAGGTTTGTTTATAACATGGTGCCAACTCAGTAGCCCAGAGAATTCTCTTCACCAACCATCTGTGGCCCTCTGGGCTGTCCACAGCAGGCATTCACTTGGCAGTGTGAGGCACAGAACATTGAGTAAGACATGGCCCACATCTCTGGGGAGGCAGAGGGAGTAGAGATGTTCTTCTACAGAGAAAGAAAAATAAATGTTGCAACAGAAGTACCAGTTCCTTTGAAAAGAAGCAAGTTTGGGATGAGTGAGCCCCTACCTGGATGACTTGTGGAAGTTTTCAGGGAAACATTCCATATACATGGACATTGAAGGAGCAAGAGAACATTGAGAGGCAAAGATGGGGATAAGGACATCCCAGAGCACGAAAGCAGGGAAGCTGGCAATAATCCTGGAGTGAGACTGCATGTAAAGGCCAGTCATCGCTGCCCTTGTGTATTAAGACTCCAGGTTTGGGCTTTATTTTGTAGAAGAGGATTAGGGCAATTTTTACACTATGGAAGAAATGGTCAGAGTCCAATAGGAAAGTAGCATTTATTATGGCTCATAAAGGAGGCCAATAGTGACACTGAAAAGAAATGCACGATGCCAGCTGACCCTGAGCCACCTGAATGGTAGGGACTTAAAGGAGTGGGAGGCAGTCAAGGTGGGCAAGTCAAGATTTCTAGCCACAGAGATTATGAGGAGAGGGACTTAAGTCACTGAGAAAGAGAACTCTGGAAGAAGAGACTGCTGAAGAGGAAAGTGAGCTGAGGCTTTGATGACGTGTAGTGGATTCCTGGTGTGGCACTATAGGATAAGCACTGGCCTGCAAACCACAAGGTCCACAGTTCTAACCCACCAGCTGCTCCTCAGAAACCCTGCTAGGAGTTGGAATTGACTCCTTGGCACTTAACAACAGCAACAACAGCTGAGAGGCTTGGAGCCCTGGTGTGGTGCTGCAGGATAAAGCACTGGACTGCTAACCACAGGGTCAGCAATTCAAACACACCGCCTGCTCCTTACTAACCCTATACATTGTCACTGTGAGTCAGGATCAACTTGTTGGCACTTAACAACAACAACAAAATAGAGAGACCCAGTGTGGCCTGCCTACCACAGGCTGGGAAACCTGGCTCCGTACATTCAGAGCACCGCCTGGCCAGAAGAGCAGCTGCTCACAGGGAGACTAGATGGACCCTGAAGCAGAGCACCTGCACAGAGCTGAGTCAGGTTGATTCTGTTTCTGTATAGTTGTTGTTGTTGTTGTTGTTAGGTGCTGTCCAGTCAGCTTCTACTCATGCTGACCATATGCACCACAGAACAAAACATTGCTTAGTCCCTACCATCCTCGTGATTGTTTGTATGAACCCTTGTAGTGGTGCTTATTAAGGGATGTTGAATCGATTCCATCTCACAGCAACTCTGTATAGGGTTCTTGAGGAGTGGCTGGTGAGTTTGAACGACTGACCTTTCAATTAGCAGTCCACTGCATATCCTACAGCACCACACCAGGACTCCATTTGAGCCCTTAAGTCAATATCTTGTTTACTGGATTTGCTCATTTTATTGCCTGTCTCCCCACTACCCTCCACCCCACTGGAAGCTTCTGGGGGCAAGGATTTGTGTTAATTTTATGCATGGATATATCCCTAGCATCTAGAAGAGGGCCTGGCACATAGTAGATACATAATCAACATTTTGAAAAATGTGCTGAATCAATAAATGAACATACTCAAAAGCTGTCAGGAACTCAAGACTAAAAAACCCCAAGAGGGCAGCAGATGTACTGAGCAGTTTGAGGTCACTGGTGCTACGGGAGGGAGCCTTTCCATTGCGAAGGGTTGGGCCCTAACCTGCATTTGCTTTTTGATGTGAAGTCCACAGTCTGTATTAAAGTTTCTGGAAGCAGTCTACACCTACATATCCCATATGGTAGCCACTAGCCACATGGTGGTGGTGGTGTGCCGAGGAGTCGGTTCCAACTCTTAGCAACCCTGCATAGGGTTTCCAAGAATATAAATCTTTATGGGAGCAGAAAGCCTCATCTTTCTCCCATGGAACAGTGGTGGTTTCGAGCCGCTGACCTTGAGGTTAGCAGCCCAACTCGTAACCCCTGTGCTACCATTACTGGTGGTAAATGATTCCAAAGAACGTGAGGCTGCACCTGGAGGGGTTGAGGGCTGGTGGACATGGAATGAACATGGGAACAAGGAGTTCCAGAATTGGGGCAGACATTGGGGTGACTGCTTCATAGGTGGCTTCATCTCTAGCACCCTTGGATGCACTGTGGAGTCTTTGTACCTCTTATGGGCTCCTGGGGAGGGAAGGAGGAGCCTCATGAAAATACAAAGTGTTGTTAGAGTAAGCTGCAGTTTTCTTGCTGAAATGGTGAACAAGAGTCACAAGTTTCCCTGAGAGCCAGAGAAATGTCAGGGCTGCCTGGCAAACAGCCCATCACCCCTTTTGCCAAGAGTGTGCCCATTCTCTGAGCCTACCCTAGAGGAGTCAGAGTCCCAGAGTGCAGGAGAAGACAGGACTTGACCTAGGGGTAGAGGACCTTGAGGGCTAGGGGATGGCACGAGGTTTTTCAGAGGTCTGTCAATGAAATCCCTTTAAACAATTATATCAGAATCAATTATAGCTGATTCTGAAAGGAAACTTCTACATAGGCAGGAATACTTAGGGGTGGCAATCTGGCTGGATGAAGAGAAGAAATTAATCTTGAAGTTGTGTTTACCATCGGATACGCTGTTCTGACTCAGCTTGGGTGGCTCTTCTGAGGAAATAAAGAAGGCCTTTCTAAGACACTGCCTAGAGCCACAAATAGGCAGGTGTGAGGTTTCCAAGGCAGGGCTGTAGCATGCCGTTCCCTCAGTTCCAGAAGTTATTCGTCTCTGGTAGAAACTTAAAGTGGGTACACACTAACGTGAGATCTCTGGGAAGATGAGGCATGAAGAGCCCGGACCCTGAGCCAGGCTTCACTGACCCTAACCTCTGCTCCCTGCCAGCACTACCCACTGCAGGTGGAGGTGGCTTTGTTTCCCTCACGGGATCACACTTGGTGTCAGCATGCCCTCCCTGCTGTTGTTTCCGTATTATCCATAGATGACTTTTAATAAAAACTCACCCTCTTCTTGTAGCCCATGAAGGTGCTTTGAACACAAACATCACAGGACAAATACGACTGAGCAGTGAGACCTTGGGCAAGTTAACTTCAGAATCCACTGTGGTAACGCCTGAAATGAAACCTGGGAAGAATTTGCGTGGGAGCGTGATGATTGCCAAAAGCAAGGCAGAGAGCCATGGCTCCGGGTCTCAGAAGCAGCATCACCTGCACCCATCTGAAACACCACAGGTGAATTCAGGGTCCTCTGGAAGGACGGTGGGGACTCTTCCCTTGTCTTCTCTGTGACCTGTGGCCAGGACACAGCCCTTCATCCCTGTGGGGCCCTCCCAGGGTGGGCTGGCACCACCTGATGCCGACTTCACATCACCTCACTCATTCGGCAGGTGCTCAGTGCACCTTCTATGTGCTAGCTCCCCAACGCCTCCCTGGGGAGCCGTGCATATGATTGTTGTTGTTATTAAGTACCAGCGAGTCAATTCCAGATCTTAGCAACTTTGTATAGGGTTTCCAAGGAGCAGCTGTGTTTATCCTACAACTCCACACCAGGAAGACCCCATGTGATAGTGCTGGGAAACCCAGCCCCCAGCTCCACCATGGAGAGCCTTCTGTGTAATAACCTGGTAAACCTAGCTCCCAACGACTCCACGGGAAACCTTCTATGTGATAACCCTGGTGATTGACTAAGTATAGTGAACGTATACAACCCTGGCACACACCTTTCCTGATTTGAAACTCTTCAGTATCTCCTTGTTCTGTTCTAACAACTGCCTTTTGGTCTATGTATAGGTTCCTCATGAACACAATTAAGTGTTCGGGAATACTCATTCTTCACAACATTGTTCATAGTTTGTAACGATCCACACAGTTGAAAGTCTTTGCATAGTCAATAAAGCACAAGTAAATATCTTTCTGGTAATATCTGCGTTCAGCCAAGATTCATCTGACATCAGCAATGATAGCCCCTTTTCTACATCCTCTTCTGAATCTGCATTTCAGTCTTGAATTTCTGACAGTTCCCTGTCCATTTTTTCTTGCAACTCTTTTATCTTCAGAAAATTTTACATCTATGTGATACTAATGATACTGTTCAATTCTTTCAGCATTCTTTGGGGTCATCTCTCTTTGGAATGGTCACAAATTATATAAATCAGTAAGCCAGGTAGCTGTCTTCCAAATTTCTTGACAAAGATGAGTGCGCACCTCCAGTGCTGCATCAGTGTGTTGAAACATTTCTATTTGTATTCCCTCAATTCCTAGGGCCTTGTTCTTCACCAGTGCTTTCTTCCTTCAATATCTTTGGTTCTTGATCATATGCTACAGTCTTGAAATGATTGAACATTGACCATTTCTTTTTGGCATAGTGGTTGTGTGTATTCCTTCCTTTTTCTTTTTATGCTTTCTGAATCATTCAAAGCTTCGCCCATGGAATCCCTCAATATTGCAATCCAAGACTTGAATTTTCTTTTCCTCAGTACTTTAAGCTTGAGAAACGCTGAGCATGTTCTTCCCTTTTGGTTTTCTAACTCCGGGTCTTTACACATTTCATTATAATATTTGACTTTGTTTTTGTAAGCTGCCCTTTGAAATTTTCTGTTCAGCTCTTTTACTTCCTTGTTTCTTCCATTCACTTTAGCTTGTTTATACTCAAGAACAAGTTTCAGGGTCTCTCCTGACATCCATTTTGATATTTCCTTTCTCTCCTGTCTCTTTAATGTTCTTTCTTTATGACGTTCTTGGTGTTATCCCACAACTCTTCCGGTCTTTGGTTATTAGTGTTTAATACATCACATCTGTGCTTGAGATGCTCTCTAAATTCAGTTGGGGTACATTCAAGGTCATATTTTGGCTCTTGTGGACTTGTTTTTATTTTCTTCAGCTTTAGCCTGAACTTGCATGTGAGCAGTTAATGGTCTGTTCCACAGTTGTCCATGGCCTTGTTTTCCCTTATGATATTGAGCATTTTCCATCACTTTTCCCACAGATGTATCCATTTGATTCCTGTGTGTTCTATCTGATGAGATCTGTGTGTTTAGTCACCTTTTGTTGTTGTTGTTGTCAGATGCCATCGAGTCAGAACCGACTCATAGCGACCCCATGCACAGCAGAACGAAACAACGTCCGATCCTGGGCCAACCTCACTACCACACTTGACACCATCAATGATGCCACCTGGCTGATCCATCTCATTGGGGGTCTTCCTCTTTTTCTCTGACCCTCCATCTTACCCAGCATGACATCGTTCTCCAGTTACTGTTCCCTCCTGACAATATGTCCAAAGTATGAGAGACGAAGCTTAGCCATCCTGGCCTCCAAGGAGCACTCTACTTCTTCCAAACAGATCTATTGGTTCTTTTGGCAGTCCATGGCACTTTGAGTATTTTCCTCCAACACCACAACTCAAAGGCATCAATTCTTCTACCTTTTAGGTTGTTTTAAAAAAGGTATTTGTGGGAGGAGACTTCCGGCGCTTCCCTGACCGGGCACCATAGGTGCGTGGACTCCGGGGAAGGGTGGGTGGTATCACACAGAGGAGGCCCCCGCCGGGTAGACAAACAGCCTTTGGGCAAATGTAAGACTTTAGCCTCCAGTATTGTGAACTTGCTTTTTTAAAGGGTCGAGCTGCTGGGGAGTTGTGGACATTTTGGGCCTCCGCCCGCCTGCACTCACCTATGCTCGGCTCCCACGGGACTGTGCGGGGCTTGAGCAGACCTGTTCGGAGGGCGGGCACGCCCAGAGAGCCGGTGGGGCTACAGGAACTGGCACAGTCCTTCGTGGGGGGTGGGGAGGGACTTCATTGCCACGGGAGGCATTATTGGGCCGGGTGCCCACGGCACAGGAAAAGAGAGAGGCATTTTTTGATGTCGTCAGACAGGGACGCCATCTGCCTGCAGCCACTAATCCTGCCCTCTACCCCCTCTGCCTAGGCTAGCCCTCTGCCCAACCTCCGAGGCTCAGGCCCACCCATCAAGGCACAAGCCAGCACAAGT